ATATCTAATTATAATTTTATAATTTTGTACGGGAAAGCCTGGCTAAATTCTCTGAAAGATGAGAAGAGAATCACTTCCCTACAAAGACAGCCTTAAATGTGACAATTTATACAGGTTCTGCCTTTCTGAGTGACCCCAGTGTTCAGTGTCTGCTCTGGGGTTCCCCTGCTGCTGTCTCGGAGGGGATTCTCCCCAGGGCAGGGCTGATTCAGGAGGACACAATCACAGGGCTGATTCAGGAGGACACATTCACAGGCATCACACTCTCCCTCCCCATCCAAAGCATTTCCAGCCCCTGACCTGCAGCTCCTCCTGGGAGGACACACCGATGGTCAAGACAATAAAGTCTGTGATGTAGCACTCAAAGAGCATCTGCCTTTCTCCCTCAGTCAGAGAAGAGATGAATTTTCCCAGGGCAGTTTTCTGGAAGTATTCCACAAATTTCTCAGCATGGCCTGGAAAATGAGGATGCAGAGAAAAGCTGGATGTTAGGAGGAAGCTGGCTTTGACACAGCATCTATCCTAGAGACACTGACACCTCATTAATCACTGATGCATCCAGCACTCCCCTCATCCAGGGCACTGAGCAGGGACTCAGGCCAGGCCTTGTCAGCCCAGCACCGTGTTGTATTTCTGCAATCTCACCTTGTCATTAACTCCTGGCTGCTCCACAGCACTTTGAATGCAAGGGCACAGCACAGGTGAGAAAGATGAATGGTGAGAAGCACAAGAAGAGCTGCCTGCACAGAACTCTGCTGGCTCCCAGGAGCACAGAGGGACTGAAGGTGACTCCAGAGACAGGAGAGACACGGCAGTGACAACCCAGAGCTCAAAGGGCAGTGGATGGAGATGCTGAAGCCAGGCTCTCACCTTCAGTGTTTTGGATGTACTGAGCCTCCAACCACATCTCTTCCAGGTACTCCTTTATCCTCCAGCTGAAGGGCATCTCATTCCCAGCATCAGCAGATACCATCATGTTGTTCTGCACCAGGATTATCTCTGGCTGAGGGCTGGGGGGTTAAAAGGTCATTAATGCACAGGGCTTTTCTTTGGGAAAGCAGAGACTGCAGAAAGCAACTGAGCCCTAGGAGGGATGGGGACAGAGAAGAGGAGGGAACTGCAGGACTCTGAGGAGAGCAGGCTGAACTGTGAGCAGTGCCCTGCTGCCCTCTGGGGCAGCCAACAAACAACATCCCTCTGCT